AAGCAGTCTGCCCCTGCTTTGGCTGCTGGTAGATGTCCTCTGGGAAGGACCCAGGAGAACCCAAAGGGGACACAGGACTTTCCCATTCTTTACTGCTATCTCAGCCTCCCCGAATTGGGAAGAATTTGCTTGTGCTGTCTGTGTATGTTTGCCTGATTGATGGGAATCCAGCATGGATTCTTCCTGTCAAAGTTCTGGCATAGTAGGGAAGAAAAGTCGAGGTCATTACCTCTGATGCCTGAAAATGTTGGTAAAAACCAGTCCATTTTCCTTTCTCCACAGAGAAAATAATGCCTTAGTCCATGTTCAGGATTGAGATAGAGAGACCATTGGTAAGGTTTATGCTGTTCTTTATCCTATTGTAGTTGTATTTGAAAGACAATCAATGGCAAAGGTGAACACTATTGTAGATTATGGATACTATAGTGTTTGTATCCAGTTGCAATGACTTAGGTGTGAAGCTTACACATAGGAAAGTCAGTTCCTCTGATCTCTCTGTCTCTCTCTCTCTTTGTGTGTGTCTGAGTTGGGAGGAGGGAGCAGGATTGAAATATTGAGAAATAGAACATTTTGGTATCACTTACTATTGACTAACAACAACAACAAAAAGACAACCCATTACTAATCCCTGTCTCTTATTGTATTATTTTTGTTAGTCCATAAGCATGTTTCCGAATGGAGGGTGAGGAGGGATAAACTACATAGTAGGGAAGGAGATACATGGAGATAAATGTGAGTGGGCATGTAAACACAGCATAAGGAAAGAGTATTGCCTTTTCAGTTCGCAAAGCCCAAAGTCCCCTGGGTACTTTATGAGTGTGACATCTAAAAAGAATATCCCCTTCCAGAAAGGACTATATGTTACTCTGAGGTTGTATTACCTTATAAACACCATTCTTCCCACCAGTCTACCTCTTCGGTTGTATTGGTGTTTGGGGTAGAATCCTGGGCTTTGTGCATACTGGAAAGGCGCTGTCCCAGTGGGACACACATTCACACCTTTATATAGGCTGTGTTTACATAATGGGGTGATGGAAAAGGAAAGGGTCTGGAGGGCAAGACTGCACACTGTTTTTATTTATTTCTTAATTGTGTGATTTATTATCTATTCAAAAGAACACTTAAAATGAATATGGGGATATGCTAATTATTTGTTTAGTTTTAAATCCACATATGCTAATTATTTAAATTTAGCTATAAGTCCACACATAAGTAAATAAGTTTTTGTATTAATGTGAATACATTTCTATATGTGTCAGATTTTTGGGTTCTTGTTTTGTTTTGGTTTGGTTTTTGGTTTTTCGAGACAGGGTTTCTCTGTATTACTTTGGAGCCTGTCCTGGAACTCGCTCTGTAGACCAGGCTGGCCTCGAACTCACAGAAATTCACCTGCCTTTACCTCATGCCTGGCAAGGTTTCAGTTTTTAAAACAAATGAAGAAATAGCTGGCTACAGTGGCATACACCTTGGGATTGAGGCAGAGGAAATAATTTTGAACCAGTGAATTTTGAGTCCTCTAGGCAAGATAGTAAAATCCATCTGAAAGCAACACAAAGTAGAAGAGGAACATTATTAGCGCCACCTTATATGGTGTTTAGCAGGGGTATCCTGAAGACCTCCACCCGAAGGCTGCACCGTTTGTTTTTTGACAGACAACCCAATACATCATGGTCATGAATTACTTCCCTGGGTCAAGAATATGGGGAGTTTCAGTGACCTTTGTCTTCTGTGATGACAGTATGTGCGGTAAACAGTGGACAGACAGGTGCACGGGTCAGAGGGCTATGAATATGGTCTCGTTGATCCTGTGGTGCTAGCAATCTGAGTCTGTTGTGTCTTGTATGTGTGACTTGTGTCTGCTTGACAGCTGGCCTGTGTACCTGGAAGGCCATGCAGCCCAGTCAGCTGGCTGCTCATGGGGAGCCCAGCAACAGACGCCCTCCAGTGCTCACTCTCTAAGCTGCAGTTGTCACCTTTCCATTTATCTAGCACATAACAGCCCTCTGAGGTCATCTGGAGGCCACTCCACCTCTCAGTCTTGGCCTCAGACCCCATTGAAGTAAACTTGATGCTGTGTTCAGATGTCTTCAGAACTTTTCATGATCTGAATCCACACCCTTGGCTCTTCTGGCCCTGGCTGAGCCATACTCTTGTTTTGAATGTTCCAAACTTATTCTCACCTCAAGGACTTAGTATCCTTTACTCTTTGTTTACTAAACATTACCCAAAACACACAGAGACCCTTATGCATACACATACATGTGCACGCGCGCGCACACACACACACACACACACACACCAGTTCTATCCAAGTGGTCACCGAGGATGAGGATTCTTCTGCTTCTGTAACTTTACCTGGCTGGTGAAATTCATTCACTGTGCTGTTGGTAGTATCTTCCTAAAACTTCAGATTTGAGCATGCCTCCCCCTGCCTAAGGTTCTTGATCCTCATCCATCTTTGGAGTTGAGCAGGTCCAGCCCATTACGGGTAGGAAGGCATGGAAGGGAGACCAGCTGTTGTTCTTGGTACTGAGGACACGAGGAAGCTGCTTGTTATTAAGGCACCTGTCAAGGAGCAGAGATCTCAGGTCAGAAGTGAGGCTGGGCCATAATTACCCCTTGAGGCCCATCCCATAGCAACCCACTTCTTCTGTACTAAGGGTCAACCCACCTCCTAAGACTCCCACAGCCTCTCAACAGCATCATATGCTGGGACTGAGTGTTCAAACATGTGAGCCCAAGGAGGACATTGCACACTCAAGCCATAACACTGGCCCACCAGTATGTCCTATTGTAACCAGAAGAAGATTCAGGGTGAAAAATTACTACTTACATGTACTTAAAAAACCCAAAGCTCAAAGCCAGTGGCATCTGGTTTAGAACCCAAGTTTCTGTTATTGGGCTAATAGTGGAGGATAAAACAAGAGACCAAGAAAAGAGCAAGCATATCTCAGCTCGCCCAGTACTCTCCAGTCCCCCTGGGGGCCTGTCTCTTAAGCCTTTAGGCTCCCCACAGCCCCAGCCCTGAGCTGGCTCTTTTGGGGCGGCAGTTGGAGAGCTACAGCTAGTACAGCCTCTCAGCACTTAGTACTCTTGTTCCCAGTGTTCTCAAGACCCTGGGTATCAAGTTCCCCAGAAAACAGGCTGCGGCTTCACCCCAGTTCCTCAAGGTGGCTTGCCTTCCTGCAGCTTCTGCCATCCCTAGGTTATCACGAAGCCCCGTTAGTTATTAGGTAGATTCCAGGCAGGCACTTGTACTGTTTGGGCTCTGTTTACCCTTCTGGTGTCAGGCCTCAGTTAGTGCCATAGCAGCTCCCTGCCTCACCACCGTGGCCACACCGTTTACTTTGACCACAGTGAACTTTGATAACAGTCTCTGTGTAATACTTTTTACATTTTTAAAAAATAGTTATTTGTGTGTACACCTGGTAGGAGGGGGCACACAGGGCTCAGTCAAAGGTCATAAGATAACTTTGTGGAGTTGATTCTCTCTACCTTCATGTGGGTTCCAGGGATCAAACTCAGACTGTCAGCCTTGCACAGAAGTGTTTGCCAGCTGAGCCATCTGGCCGACCCCCTCTTTGTAATTACTGTCTCTTAGTACTTCATAAATGATCCTAGAGCTGGAAGAATGGTTGAGTCAATATTTCCTCCTGCCCATTCCCATATCTGCCATCATCATCCATCCTCAACTTCTTTCTCCCCATTTTTTGCCCTTCCTTCTAGGTAGGTCTGTCTAACAGGCTCGTCTGCCTGGCCTCTATTCTATCAATTCATTAACAGCAAATGAGTTATATCATAATAATTGATGCTAGTATTTATTGACATTTGACTATGGATCAGCTCTATTATATAATTTTAGTCTCAAAAAATCAGATTAAAATGAGTTGAGCCTCTGACCAGTTTCTCCAGGTTTTAGTGTACAGAGGCTTAGGGACAGGAAGTGACTTCCACAGTTGGTTAACAACAGAGTCTGGCTGAGGACTAACGTATCCAGGCGGCTGGCTAGTAGTTAGTTCTTCTATACGTAACAAATGGAAGTTCACTGGCATCATTGGATTGGGTTTTCCTTTCCATTACAGAAGCTAATTTATGTACAGAGAGAAGAAATGACCTAGGCTTTAAGGGTTCAAGGGCAAATATTAGGAGTTGGGATGAATTACATCTATTATTTTCGTCTTATCAAGTGGGTTCCTGTATCCCAAAGTGTTTCTATGCTACAGAAATGTTCCTTTCCCCTGCAGTCTCATAGTTCAGAAGTTGTCAGCATAAGATGCCTGGTGGATCACCTCACTCTTTTGCCAAAAATACTGCACAGCAACTGTCCTATGACTGTCTTTCTCTAGTCCCTGACTCCTCCTTAAACTCATGTTCCGTCTAAAGGACACCCACATTTTCTTTTCGGCTACATCAGATTTTTGTGTTTTAAGGGCAGATACTTAAAAGTTGAAGTCACCGACTTAAAAAAATGAGAAAGCCTGTTGGAGAACACTTTGTTCTTGAGACCGTGGCATAGAACATTCATTGTCAATGCAGGGCAGCCTCTGCCTTTCATACAGCAAGACAATCAACAGCAGCAACGTCCACCCAGGGTCTGACAGACAACTTGAAACCCCCCAGAAAGCTTTTCACTGTGCATCTACTTGGGAAATAGGAAGGCATTTTGGTGTTCCTGTTTTTCTTTAAATGTGGATGTCCAGAATGACCATGGTAACCATGTCCTCACATTCAGAAGGCTTAAAATGCCAACATGTAGGAAGCCTAAATAAAGTTATACTGACTTTGCAGCATTCCTATGTGGTCTGAAGTTAAGTGAGAATAAGAAGTAAAATGGAGTATTTGTTGAGCCAAGGACACAGTGATCAGAGGGGAAGTAAGCAATGCTTGCATCTGTGATCTCTTGGGACACAGGTCTCTGGGCCCCTCAACCACCTTGCTTCATGAGGGGACTGAGCTGAGAAGCCGCTGATGCTAAAGGGTCGCCTCCTCTGCCTCCACAGGTACAGTGAGCCTGCCACTCGCCCTCACTCGTGGCATGCAACCAAGTGTGGAGAGAACCACCCTGATACCAGCATGATGCAGATATCTCAGGGCACGATGGGCCCTCCTTGGCACCAAAGCTACCATTCCAGGTGAGTGGCCATGGCTGCCATCCAATGTTTTCTCTCTTCCAAAGGTCATGTGCTCCCCAAAAATGTCTTTTTTTTTCATCCTCTTAAAATACTAACCATGTGGGTGGCTTATCTTTCCAGCATACCCTGAACTAGACTGTTGAGAGAAGGCTGAAAAGAGTTTGATCATGGCTGGTCATTTGAGATATTTATGGAACAAACCCATTCCCAGTCAGCTGTTTCTCAATACCTATTATAATCCCATATATGAAAATTTTGACAGATTTCTTTCCTGGGTGCTTCAATGTCCTGTCTGCACTATGCAAAAAGAAATACACACACACACGCACGCACGCACGCACACACGCACACACGCACGCACGCACATCCAAATTGATGATATTGCTTATTTAAATGTTCTACTTGGTTTTCCTCCTCTGTCAAAGCAATTTATCTTGCTTGGCCCTGCAGCAGAAACAACTAAAATGGAGGTTTTCTCAGAGATACGTGATTTCACCAAGTCCCTTCAGTTCCCTCTTCTGCATGCAGTACCATTTTAAAGATTACAGAAGTTGCCAGGCAGTGGTGATGCATGCCTTTAATTCCCAGTATTCGGAGCAGAGGCAGGCCAACCTCTTGAGACTGAGGCCAGCCTGGTCTACAGAGCTATTTCCAAGACAGCCTGGACAGGGCTACACAGAGAAAAGTCTGTCTTGAAACACCCCCCAGTCCTCACCCCACCTCCCAAAAAAGAAACACTAATTTGCCCCATTTTGCAGAACAAGAGGCTGAAATATGCACAAATTAGTCTGTCTGCATATGGACAGCTGATTAGTATGTGGTGAAGACAGAGCTGAGCCAGGTCCTGTAGTTTTTGCATATAGGTTATGCTTGTGCTCTGGTCATTCTGAAGCTCTTCAGGTTGTTCAAGAATGAACAGAGCCTCCATGAGTGCCGCAATGGAAGGGGTTTGTTCCAGAGATCTGGCCTTACACATCTGAGAGGAGCTGGGAAAAGGGGATCCAAACTCAGACCCTCAGGCATCCTGAAGAACAAACTCAAGTCAGGATTGCCCACCCCAATTGCACACACAAGCTAGCATCCATGTAGATCCTGAGAGTCAGGCTTTACACAGTATTGTCATCACTTGAGTCATGAAGAGGTAAAGCGGAGGTCAGGAGGTGGGAAAGACATTTCAAACCTACATAAAAAATGCAGGTGGCATTTTAAGGACAGCCACTAGGGGGCTTCTGGAAGGATTATTTAACATCGTGGCTGCATTTTGGGGGAAAAGTAGGACTCAGCCCTTACAGATCATGATTTGCTCAAAGGCAAATCATAGACCTCTCGTTGGTCTATGACACAGAGCAGGACAGACCTCTTCTGTCATATTAGAGTAAGCATCAGGCCACAGGAAGAAGTGATTCCTAGTTATTTAACTTCTCTAGGCCCTCTTTTCCCTTTTTGTAGGAATCCCAGTCTCTGTCTTTTTTGGGGAGGGCAGGGCATTCTCTGCCTATCTCTGCCTGCCAAGTGCTGGGATTAAAGACATGCTCCACCATACCTGGTGCCCTCCTAGTCTCTTAAGGGGACCAGTTCACACTACCTGACCATCTGTTCTGCAGAGTGGGTTCCCTCATAGTACACCCATCCCACAAAGGACAGTTGATTTACAGGCCTGTATGTGTCAGGGCTTTGTAAAGTATGGGCCCCTAACGGCTTGAGGAACTTTTAGGTGTGACTCCTCACCTGCTCATGAGCATGAGCACCCTTTGATCCTGGCTTTCCTTTCTCTGACATGAAGCTAATGACTCCTATGTCATTGGGTCATTGTGAGCATGAACTTAAAGGAATGTATGCATCCCCTAATGCACCCCCATGTCTTAGTGATGAGCATGCTCCCCGAAGAAGATAGGAAATGTTTCACCTTATAATACTGTTTCCCAAAGACTTTTCCATGAAATAAAAGCTCATTAAGTGTTCCTTGGCAGAAAGTTTCTGGGGTCAAATAAGTTTAGAAAAGTTTGCTTTGTGTCTTTCCCCTTTGGAACAACAGATGAACAGTAGTTTATGGAAGACCCAGAAGTCTAGCAGTAAACAAACTTGTTTAACTTTAGTCCAGTGTTTTGCAAACAGATTTGATCATTTTAGGAATTACGGTTCTGGGAGTACATATCAGGAAATTTTTCATGTCATTTGTCTTGTGCTTTTCACAATGTAGCATTTAAATTTTATTTATTTTTTTTTTTTTTTTTGGTTGGGTGTTGGTGGCACATGCCTTTAATCCCAGTACTTGGGAGGCCGAGGCAGGTAAGTTCAAGGCTAGCCTGGTCTGCAGAATGAGTTTTAGGAAAGGCTCCAAAGCTACACAGAGAAACCCTGTCTTGAAAAACAAAAGAAATTACTTTTTTTGAGAAATATTTTATAAGTATTTTGCCTGTATGCATGTCTGTGTTCCACGTGCATGCCAAGAGCCCTCAGGTTTGAAGAGGTTGACAGTCCTCTGGGACTGGAGTTTTGATGGTTGTAGCAACCAGGTGGGTGTTCAGGAGCCAAACCCAGGTCCTCTGCAATATCACAAGTTCTCTGAACTGCTTTAGCCCCTAAAAATTACTTTTAAGTACACAAAATAGAGTAGCATAGAAAAACACCTGTATCTGCCATAAAATCAGCAAATGTTTTTTGAGTGCTTTCATTCTTTAAACATTGTGGATAGAACTGAATTGCTTTCTTATAACCAAAGCAATGATATAAAGTCAAGTGGCATGAAGTGCTATGAGGAAAATAAAAGCAGCGTTATAGGATGTAAGGAGAGCCAAGGCCATGATTGTTTTTGGCAGTCTTCTGAAATAGAGACTTGAATAAGGGAAGGGAGTGAGCAGAGGAAGGGCACTCCAGGTGGTAGAGCGCAAGCAAAAAAAATCTCTGTAACACTGGCAGAGATGGGTGAGGTTATCGCATGCATTTGAGTCCTTTCCAGGAGGGGCTGGGACTGGAGTGCAGTGAGCAAAGTCAGGTTGCCCCTGTTAGCATCGAAAGTGTGGCGGGACAGAAGATTTCATTCCTCACCATTAATGCATCTTAGAAGCAGGAGCGTCAAAGCTGACAGTGATGAGTGTCTCCAGACAGTAGTGGGAAGCTTGTTCCTAGAGGCCAGCATTGGGTCCCACATCCCTAGAACAGACCGTGGAGGGGCAGAGCATACCCCCGACCCCTGTAGGAGAGTAGTCCATGAAGTCCTCGTGTGTTGCTACCCACTTGAAGTCTGCTACAGGAAGTGGGTCCCTAGACGCTTGTTTGGTTTGTCAAGAGATAGGTGGGACTTCCTATTCCTAGACACCAACTATATTTTGAGACACCAGTGACGGTATTTTCCCTGCTCATTGGTATTCCTCCCGGTGGCTGCTGGTTGCTTATATGTGCTTTCCTACTTAGAGCTGAGTTACCCTTTCAGTGAGTGACTGTAGTCAAGAGGACTAGCTAGTGCTCACTCCATGCATGGAACTGGTGAGCAGAGCAGCTTTCATGTGGCCAGCTGCTTCCAAGTCCCCTGCAAGTGTCACCTCTGCTGCAGGAAGTTAAAGGAATTACAGCCAGCCAAATGGGACTTCAGTGCCGCCACCCCCCACCCCCAGGCTTTTGCAACAAACCTCTTCACTTTAGCGGAAACTGGGAATGTGAGAGTCAGGCCTCAGTAAAATCTAGCTATGACATGCACCGTGCCATTGAGAGCAGGTCAGTTACTCCTGAGCTGGCAGGCTCGCCAACTGTTCCTTCTTCCTCTCTTGAATTTATCCTGTCCTTCCCAAAGCAGGGTACTTCCTTCAGTAAGTTGTCTTTCCCTGAGGAGAAAATGGATCTGTTGAGGTAAAATGCTGGGCATGTGTTCTTGTTTACAATGGTCATGCTATCAGGGACCAACAATGTTTCCTTGGTCTGTCACTAGTTATAACTTTGAACATTGCCCTTCAAGTCTCTTTGTATAGTCTCTGGATACATTCCAGCTTAAAACATTGTCATACTTGGTACTATATCATTACATTTGCCTATATGAGATCTAGAAATATGTATACTACATGATTGTAAATGCTTTTGAGTCTCTACTCATCTAAAAATGAAATAAATGCCAAGGTAAGAACTGATTTACCCTCCTCTGGAGAATCACTGTTTACCACAAGGAGGCTGCTGATTGAGTCTTGTTTATTCTAGTATAGGTTTTCCTAGGTATATAATTCCTTTCCTTTAGTTCCTCCCGTATGCTAGGTATGGATTCTACTCCCAGCCCAAATATATTTGTTTTGTGGGGGCTTTTTGAGATAGGGTTTCTTCTGTGTGCAGTCCTGGCTGTCCTGGAACTCGTTTTGTAGACCAGGCTGGCCTTGAACTCACTGAAAGCCACTTACTTCTGCCTCCCAAGTGCTAGAATTAAAGATGTGCACCACCACTGCCCAACCCCCCAAATATATTTTATAGAAAATTTTTATTTGATGTATGTAGGTGTTTTGTCTGTGTGTACATCCATGTACCTTATACATGCATAGTAGCTGCCAAGGCCAGAAGATGGAGTCAGATTTCTAGGGATTGGAGCTAGAGACAGTTGTGAACCATCAATGTGTGTACTAAGAATCGAACCCAGCCAGTTCTGTTAACTACTGAGCCATCTCTTTAGCCCTTTATAGTCCCTATAGCCCTTATAGTTAAAATAGCAAAATTGAATGGAAGCTACAAAGATTTCCCAAACTCCCTGGTCCCCACACATGGCATGTTAGACTCTTTGATTATCTAACAAAAACAAAATCTCTGTGGTACAAAGGTCCAATATTGAGAATTCTTTCCTTCTCAACCCAGAGGAGTTTAGAAATACAAAGGCCTTGCTCTCCTGAATGCACACTGGAGATGGCTTTGGTGTTGAAATTCCAGCCTAAAGGACCTCCTGTGGCTAAGACTTCCTTCCAAGCTTCCCTTTCTTGCTTACCCTCTCCTCCCTCATTGCCTTTTTCTGGCTCTAATGTCTCCCCCTGTATTTCTCCTTTCAGCTTTGTGTTTAGCTTCTCCCCACAAACAAATTGTCCCTCCCAGTGTTGAGATTCAGGAAGGTTGCCAGGGCCTAGCTTCTGACTCCTTAAAAAGGAAAGATATTAACTAAAATCATACTCATGTGCTCCCCAAGTCCCGAGCCCTTCACATGCCTGTTCGCTTACTAAGCTTTCCTCTGTCTGCCCCACAAGGATCTACAACAGACAGAAAATGTCCTTCTCTATCATTCTTCCTTTCCGTTTGCCCCCGCTCACCTCCTTCATATCTGGGCATGTGCAAAATGTCAGCTACAATGCAGCAAGTTGGGCCAGAGTGCTGCCTGTGCCTAAGGCCACCCCCTTCTTCTAGTAAGCCTGAGTGATTAATTAGAGTCTCATAAGGCTACAGCACTGGGCAATTGATCCTAGTGATGACACAGGCATCGGAACAAGCCCCAAATAAGGCCCTTTTGACCCACCCTTCCAAAAACGGAACATCTTGCATAAGAGCGAATTTATAAGCTGAGCCCTGTGTCTGTGAGCCCACTAACCTCCTCAGCCGACTGACTGCTGTCTCCTTTCCTCCCAGCTCTTCTACAAGTGACCTCTCCAACTATGACCATGCTTATCTGAGGCGGAGCCCTGACCAGTGCAGCTCGCAGGGGAGCATGGAAAGTCTGGGACCTGGTGGTGGATACCCACCCTGCCATCTCCTTTCTCCTGCCAAGTCCATGAGCAGCATCGACCAGCTCGGCCACCTCCATAACAAAAGAGACTCGGCATACAGTTCCTTCTCCACAAGCTCTAGCATCCTAGAGTATCCACCCCCTGGTGGCTCTGGCCAAGAACGTTCAGGTTCCATGGACATGATTTCTGCTCGAGGCGGCCTCCTAGAAGGGATGAGGCAAGCAGACATTCGCTATGTCAAGACAGTCTATGATACCCGGAGGGGAGTATCGTCAGAGTATGAGGTGAACCCTTCAGCTTTGCTTCTTCAAGGTAGGGATGCCCACGCGTCAGCAGGTATTCAGGGCTGTGCTAAATGGCACAGCGTTCCTCGGGGCAAGGGAGCACCTTCCCCACCTTGGAGCCAGCAGTGCCCCAGTTCCTCAGAAACTGCCACTGACAACCTGCCTCATAAAGTGGGTGCGCCCATGCCCCCTACTCGGAGCGACAGTTATGCAGCCTTCCGGCATCGCGACCGTCCCAGCTCCTGGTCCAGCCTTGATCAGAAGAGGTTCTGCCGACCTCCGACAAACTCCCCAGGTTCCTTGAAAACCCCGCTTATCGAGGAACAGCTGCATACAGTCCTAGAGAGGAGTCCAGAGAACAGCCCCCCAGTGAAGCCTAAGCATAGTTACACCCAGAAGATGCAGCCTGGCCAACCCCTACTGCCCACTGGCATCTATCCGGTACCCTCTCCAGAGCCACACTTTGCCCAGGTGCCTCAGCCTTCTGTGAGTAGTAATGGTACAGTCTACCCTGCACTGGTCAAAGAGAGTGGATATACAGCTGCTCAGGGAGCTTGTAACAAGATGGCTGCCGTAGATGAGAATGGAAACCAAAATGAAGCTAGCAGGCCGGGGTTTGCCTTCTGTCAGCCCCAAGAGCATGTCTCAGTGACCCCAGGGGAGAGAAATGCAGAACCCACGGCCAAATATGTCCCCTACAAAGTCCACTTCTCTTCAGCCCCCGAAGGTGAAGACTCCTCCCTGAAGAGACACGTCACACCTCTCCATGGCAGCAGAGTGAGTTCTAATCACCACAGCCTCTCATCTCCTCAGGCCCAGGCCTTGCACGCCGGGGATGGCAAGAGGCCTTCCAGGCTCCCTCAGCCCTGGGAGGAGGACGTTCAGGAAGATCACAACGCCAACCTCAGACAGAAACCGGAGAGGGAAGCTCTAGGCCAGAGCCAACCAGGCAGCTTTGGCAGGACCAAGTCGGCCTTCTCATCTCTCCAGAACATTCCAGAGAGTCTAAGAAGACAAGGCAGCGTCGAGCTTGTAGGAGAAGCGCAGGAGGGCCACCCAGGTGGCAGGCCTACCTGTGCCCTCAATGCCAACGTGGAAGAGCCTGGCAGGAAAGCCGGGCCCGACAACAGGAGCCACCAGGACAGGCCCGTTTCCTATGCAAGGCCGGAGGGGAAAATGACCGCCGCAGACAATGTGCACCGTCCTGACCCAAGGTCGGAAGAGCCCCCCGGCCCACCGCTCCAGCAGACGAGGAGGCTCAGCTCCAGCTCCAGCAGCAGCAGCTGCGCCCCTGGCCCGCAGTACCGGAAGCTGCACTGTTCGGTGCTGGAGAAGGTCTCCATGATCGAGGAGCGAGAACAAGGGCGCCACAGGCTCCCGAGCGCGGGCAGCAGCACGCTGGGCCTCAACCATAGGCCCGGCAGGACGGGCCAGACCTCCAGCCCTTCCAGCGGCAGTGGCGGCAGCGACTTCGAGGGCCCAAAGGCCAGCGTCCATGCGGCCAAGGCCCTGGAGCAGCTGCGCCCCGGGGAGTCCAGGCCAGAAGAGGCGCCCTGCTGGCAGCCGTGCGGCCAGCCACCGAGGACGGCCGGGGACGGCCGGGGGCCTCCCGTCCGAGGAGGCGCTGAGCCCCCGAAGCCCGAGGCCCGCCTGCTCCGCAGCCAGAGCAGCTTCCAGCTGTGCAGCGAGGCGGCGGCCGGGAGGGAAGCGTCGTGGCCGCCGGAGGACAGGCCCCCCACGCCGGAGTCGCCCGTGCTGGACGCGCCCTTCAGCCGCGCCTACAGGAACAGCATCAAGGACGCCCAGTCCCGCGTCCTGGGCGCCACGTCGTTTCGCCGCCGGGACCTGGGGCCCGGTGCCCCGGCCGCCTCGAGGCCCTGGCGCCCCCGACCCGCCTCGGCGCACGTGGGCATGCGGAGCCCCGAGGCCGCCGCACCCGCGTCCTCCTCGCCTCACACCCCACGCGAGCGGCACAGCGTGAGCCCGGCCGCACCCCAGGCCGCCCCGCGCCGTGGTGCCCGGCGGCGCCTCCCGCCCGAGCACAAGAAGCGCTCCTACTCGGAGCCCGAGAAGATGAACGAGGTGGGGGTGTCGGAGGAGGCCGAGCCCGCGGCCCGCCCAGGCCCGCCCAGGCCGGCCCCGCCAAGCTTCTCCGGGGAGAGCAGCAGCACCGTGGCCGACCGGCGCCGCCTCTTCGAGCGCGACGGCAGGGCCTGCTCCAGCCTCAGCCTGTCGGGGCCCGAGCTGAAGCAGTTCCAGCAGAGCGCCCTGGCCGACTACATCCAGCGCAAGACCGGCAAGCGGCCCGCCGCCGCCGCCGCCGCCTGCCCTCCGCAGCCCGGGCTGCGCGAGCGCGCCCACAGCGTCTACCTCCAGGCCGGCCCCGCTGCGGCCCCCGACGGCCCCGGCCTGGCCTCGGCCTGCAGCCTGAGCTCGCTGCGGGAGCCCGACGCGCCCCGCAAGGAGCACCCCCACCACCTGTCTGCAGCAGCCGCGGACGCCCCGCAGGCGCCCGCGCCCCGAGATCGCAGCAGCTCCTTCGCCGGCGGACGCCTCGGCGGGGCCGGGGAGCGACGACGCTGGGACCCTCAGCCCCCCAGGCCGCTGCTCAGCGGGGCAAACTGCGGAGCGAGGGCCACCCAGAGACCAGACAGGACCCCTGGCAGCAGGCCGCCCTCTTGGAGCATGGTGGCCGCCAAGGCCGGGAAGTCCAAGTCAGCCGAGGACCTGCTGGAGCGCTCTGACACCCTGGCTGTCCCTGTGCATGTGAGGTCCAGGTCGTCTCCCACCGCAGACAAGAGAGGCCAGGTAGGTGCAGCCGAGCCAGCTGGCCGAGGGGTACTGGTGTTTAATACTACATGCCAAGCAATAGCCGTAACCACGGAGCTATACCCACCCAGACCCCTTCTACTTAGTGAGATAGGGTCTCACTAAGGTGTCTGGGCCAACCTGGAACTTTTCTGCCCATCTGTCTCAGAATTCCAAGTAGTTGAAATATAAACTTTTGCCACCAAGTCTGGCTTTTGGTATTTTATGTAGGTGTGTGCCAGTATGTAGGATTTTAGGAAATGTCCATCTCTCAGTGTATTGAAACACGTGTACATACACATACCACTCACATACATCCTTGTGAGAGAAAATGCTGTACCCTCCCAGGTAATTTCTGCTCAGAACTGTCTAGGAATATTCTCTCCCCAGTGTAACTCCTACTTTAAAAAAAAGAAAAAAATCTATAGAAGCCATTCAAAGGCTACAGAGCTTCCTTATTCCCAACCGGTCATTAAAATCCATAGGTACAAGCTTTTTCAGCTCATTTTATAGCAGTAGTTTACCACATGGCAGTCCAAACAATTTGTTCTTCTCTCCCAATACTGTAAAGATGATGTGATTAAAAAAAAAAAAAAAAAAAGCCAGGTGTGGTAGCACATAACCTTTATTGCCAGCACCCAGGAGGCAGGGATTTCTCTGGGAGTTCAAGGCCAGCGTGGTCTACATAGTGAGTTCTAGGATAGCCATAGCCAGGGCTATGTAGTGTAGAGGGACCCCGTCTCAAAAAAAAAAAAAAAAAAAAAAAAAAAAGATAGAAAAGCATAGTCATATTTAAATGTCATTATTCTGTCTTGAGGAATTGGTTAGATGACTAAATGCTTTGTATCTCCCCCCTCCCCCCAGTATTTCATAAGCTGGTCACTTGGGAAATAGACGCCAAGTGAGCTTTTAGTCTATTTTGGAGAAGTGGTAAGGCTTCTTCAAATCCCAGTTAAATACTTTGTGTGTTATTTGTAAAACTGTTTTTAGAAAGGTGTTCTTCTAATAAGGAGACATCATATGTAATTGTTATTTAATCAGGGACTGTGAAGCCAAGGGGGAACATTCAAGGTGAGAGACCTGCCTTGTGCCGCTCCTCGCCAACACTCACATTCTTGAGCTGCTGCCTGGCCCAGCAGCTAGTCCCAGCCTGACTAGAGACGCTGCCGGGCCACTTCATGTGTGCTTTTCATCTTTAGCCTTTTGTGGCTAAAACAAAGCAAGGGGCCTGAAGATGTAGCTTGGAGATAGAAAGCCAGCAGGAACAAGGCCCTGGGTTTGGTTTCCAACACCAAAGGGGGGGTGGGGTTATTGAGTCAAGGTGAATCATGAATTTTAGAACTATAAAATCAAGTTTTTAGTTTTTGGAATTGTAAGTTTAAAGAACTCCCTCATCATCTAGGTTTTCTGTAGGTTTAGTTAATGAATTTTTCTTCTAACTTCAGTGAACTCAAGCAAGGTAGGGAACTTTGTACAGTCTGAGGTTAAAACCAAAATTCTATGGGATTCATTTTTGATACTATCAGAGTTTATGACACCTGCAAAATATGATTTGTTCTTAGTAATTGGATGCTGGTAGTGCAAGATTTTATAAGCTTGTGTGTGTGTGTATGTGTGTTTATGACACCCACAGAATATGATTTGCTCTCACTGATCAGGTGCTGGTAGTGTAAGATTTTATAAGCTTTAGTGAGAGAGAGTTGTTTGTGAGAGTATAAGTATGTGTGTGTGAGTGTGAGTGTATGTATGGGAGTGTGTAAGTGTGTGTGAGAGTATGTGTGTGAGAGAGAGAGCGCGCGTGCACACACACACACACACACGGGTATTGAACAACTCTACGAACATCTGACAGTCCTTCTCAAAATTCTGTCAGTTGGGTACTTTCTGTCTCCAAAACAAGTCATCATGAAAATCAGTTCCCTGAGTATAATGGTTGATAATTTGGAGGTCTGAAATAATAACCGCAAGAGGCTACTGTGTTGAACTACAAATAGCCTGAGAGCTTTACTCCAAAACTTGACGAAATAAGGCCTCTCCCCTGCTTCCTTGGTATTCTCTCCAAAACACACGGCACCCATGCTTTTTCCCTTGTACTCGAGAGTACAGTTGCAGAACAAACAACTGTTAAGGGCAGTGCCAGGAACTCAGATGGGTCCTAGGGCTCAGGCTAACTGTTGGCAAAAACTGGCCCACCTGGTCAACAGGGAGGATGGTGGGGCGAGACTTAAAGGACCGTAGAGTTCCTGAGAACAGGGGCTTCTGTCCTGCAGTGGTAGTCAGTGCATGGGATTCATCTTCATGTGTTCAAACCTGATCGCACTCATCAGCTGCATTTAACTCATTGAAATTCCACAGAAAAATCTTGGGCTTTGAAGCAGGCCTGGCTTGAATCCTAGTTCCTCTGTTTAAGTGAGCTACATTCACACACTTAATTGTGTATGTACATGTGTACTTGTGCATGTGTGTAGACATGCAAGTTTCAATGGAAGTGTCAAGTAGATAATATTCCGTACAAGATACTAAGCAAAGTGTCTGGCACACAGTAATATACCTAATAAGGGAGTTGTGGGATTATTAATGTCTGGGCATTCATTCACTTCATCCGCCTGTGAATACCTTTGACCTTTGGGGAACAGCAGTGGAGAGAAGAGACCATACTGAAAATTGAACCTAGGTCCTCATGCATGCTAGGCAAGCATTCTGTATCTCTATCTAACGTTTGACTGTTTTGTTTACACATGTATATGTTTGTAGGGTGTGTGTGTGTGTGTGTGTGTGTGTGTGTGTGTGTGTGTAGGTTGAGAATCTTTTTTCCCCCTGGGCTGATGGTAGTAACACAGATCTCTCAGTTGAACCCAAAGCTCACGAGTGTAACTTAATCTATCTAGCCAACTCGCTCTGGGACTCCCTGTCTCTGGAGTGCTAGAATTACAGGCAGGCCACTATGACCACCAGCTTTGGTGTGAGTTCTAGGGATCCGAACTCCAGCTCCCACTAAGCACTTTGTCCACTCGTTATCTCCCCGTCTGAGTCTTCGTTGACTATGAGTTCCTCTTTTACCCAGTCAAAAACATGGATAAGGAAGTTATCCCATTAGATGAGTAAATAGTGAGTTAAGGCATTATTAGGTTCAGATTATATATGCATTCTCCTTTCCCACCTGTGTCATATTATTGTAAACAATGGAGAGCTGATTATGTCATCCATAGCGTCAGTGTCCTCTTCTTCATGACCAGATCACCCAGGACAGATTTTACACTATCCATGTTGCAGTTTTAACCCTTTCAAGGTACCAGTATCTATTCATAGTAAAAAAACAAAAACTACTCTGAAAAGCCTCTGATATCACCTAACCGGAAGACTTGGGAGAGTTTACTGTCACCTAATTACAAATTAGATTCATATTTAGAACACTTGAAATCTTTCAAAATTGTAATTTTTCCTGTTGTCTTATTTACCATCACCACTTGTTGCCATTTTAAAAGTTTGACCCATGGAATTTGTGTCATTATCATCATTCTTGAGTATTGTAGTGATTGTGAACTCCAAAATAATCCTTCTTCGGCATCTCTTCCTTGACAAACGTTCTTGTGAGGACAGATGCCTGCAGAAACTTCGGAAGTTCTCGTGTTGACCCATTTCTGACCTTGGGCGTGTCCTCACTGATGCCTGCCGTCAGCAGTCTTCCCGGAGCTTTGGGGACTGAGGGCAGTGTCTGTGAGAGTGCTGCCGTGGTACCTGACCACAGTAGGTCACCAGTGTGCAGGCCCCTCCCCTTTCCTTCCTGCACCCTACTTCAGTGTCCCTTTCTTCTGCTTCCAGGATGTGCTCTTGCAGGAAGACGGTGGCTTTGGTTTTGTGAAGGACCCTTGTTGTTTGGCTGGCACTGGATCTAGGTATGTGTGTGTACGTGGCAATAGAAAAAACAAATGTTGACAAGGGTGAGAAGTCAGAACTCTGTACACTGAGGGCATGTAAATCGGTGGCAGCAAAGCAAAGAGCACGGAAGATCCTGGAAGCGTTAAAAACTCCACCCGTAGCAAGCCCGAGTCTATATCCCAAAGGGTTGAAAGCCGAGTCTGAGAAAGGCTCACATGTGAAGTTGATAGCAGCTGTTTACCATTGACAGTAGTCAGAAATAGTCAAGAACTCAAGTCTCCATCTGGGAATGACCATATAAACAGAACGTGGTGGACTCAGTGGAATATTGTTCAGCCTCAAAAAAAGAAGAAATCCTATCAAATATGAACCTTGATTATATTAGCAAAATGAACTAAGATGTTTTGTTTTTACCCTAAAATTATTCCTGAGAAACAGAAAACCAATAACCGTGAAGAATGTCAACCAAATGAAGCACTGAACTTAAATCCTGCTTCCAAAGGGATTTAATATTAGTGTGGTGAGTGAGACCAAACAAACTAAAAACGCCCAAGGATTAGGCTGGCTCCTTACCGACTATTGCATAGTTTGTGTTTATAATGTACGTCTAAAGGCTTTTAAAGGGGACATCATAAACACAAAATAGTACAACCCCCAGTAAGGAGCCAGTCTAATGCCTAGACGCTTGCCACATCACATTGAATCTCCTTGAAAGCAGGCTAGGTGGCCCCCTCCTTTTTATCTGTTTGTCCCTTTTTGTCTTAGGGAGTGAGGGACACTGAGAGACTCAGGACAGAAATGTTAAAATCAAATCTTGAGACTCAGCAGCCATACAAGTGCTTCCCAGGCAGACTCCTCCCTCCGGGTGTTGCAGGGAGGCAGTGAGGGAGGCATCAGAGCCGAGAGCAGCTCCCCAAAGTGGTCCAAAGAGAAAGAAGCTGGAGAACTGTGTTCCTTGTTTTCCTTCATGTTCCATAGCTTGTCCTCAGAAGCCATCTTACATGTATGTGGTGGCAGGAAACTGGGCTGTGAGTGGGGGTTAGAAAAGGATTGTGCTGACACTGCCTGGCTACTTTAAGTTGGTCCAGGGAGAGTGTCTGACTTCTCTGGGGGTGAGGGTCCTCATCTGTGCCTGATGCCCAGGGTTTGCCCTTTCAATAGAGCTCTGACTGTCCTGTCTGCCCTGTTCCAGGTCTACCAGTTGCTCAGACAGAGGCCAGAAAGAGCCAGCATTGCCTCCTCACCATCCTACCCCTTGCCAGAATGGCTCAGGTTCTACTGTTGGTTCCCCAGCTCCTATGGAATGTTCTGGAGTTCCAGACCACCCGAAGCAACTTAGAATACCTTGCCCTAGGCCACTTCCGTCAGGAACGCAAGGCCACTTTCCAGATGCCAAAGCTGCCTCCATGGCCCCGTTCAGGTCCCCTCTGCCATCTCCTGTCCCCTCCAGTTACCGGCCACAGCTTACCATGGATCATCAGACTGAAAGGAATGGGCAGATGGAGCGACAGCCGCTTCCACCTTCCACCCCTGCAGTTACCCAGCCTTCCAGCCCAAAGTGCCATGAGTTCAGCAGCCCAGAGCATGGGCTAGAAGAGGGCATGAGGAGGAAGGCATCACTGCCCCAGCGGCCCCCTCCATCCTGGGTGAAGTGGGCCCATGAAGCCAGAGAGGACAGCCTTTCAGAGGATGCCTTGGCACCTGAGTCTGCAACTCTGAAGCACTGTAAAAATCAGAGTCTGCCCAGTTCATGCAGCACTTCAGACCCAGACACTCCAGGGAGGATCTCTCTCCGAATATCAGAGTCAGCCCTTCAGGCTTCCCCGCTACCCCGGGGAGACTATGATGACGAAGTGTTTGTGAAGGACTTGCACCCCAAGGTTACTTCAAGCCCCACATTCGAGGTGCTGCCCCCACCTCCACCTCCGTGCTCTCTACTGAGCCAGGAAACCCTAGTGAATAGCTCTGATGATTTCCCTCCACCTCCTCCCCAGGCCATGCACGAGGCATTGATAGACAGCGAGGCATACAAGGAACCCGGCAGCAGGTGAGTGAGCAGCTGCAGCCAGGACAAGCCTTTGGCTGAGGGGAAGGGGGGGTCGGCTTTCACTCACAGGTGTTCGCAGCCAGGGACCCCAAGGCATCCTTGTGTTGCTCACAGGAGAGCCTTAAGGTAAAGAATCTTCATGTTGGTTTAACTCATGAAGCTGCCACCACAGTTCACTTGTTTGCCTTGAGGGGCTTAGCTCTTACTGTACACACTGAGAAGTGAGACTTGAAAGAGTCAAGACCCACTCCTCTTGACTGAGTTTCGGATCAATCAAAGAAATAGGATCCAGAAATGCTGCTATATTGCTGGCAGAACAGACAGTGGAGAATGCGGCTTTGGTCTGACTGTGAGGGCCTCCTGGTACTAAACCCCAGATTAGGCTTCCGGTCTACGGGTACTCCGTGTCCACAGACATAAAGGACAGCTAGCAGAGCTAGCAGTCAGTGGTATTTAGGGGAAGTGGTGGGAACCAGCCTGTGAGACTGGTGATTGCTCACAGCAGAATTCTCTGGGGTCCAGTGAGATGGCTTGGTTAGTAAGGTCACATGCCTCCAAGCCTGATGACCTAAGTTTGATCTTCGGGACCCTCATAGTGAAAGGAGAGAGCTTGTCCTCTAATTTTTATACACATACCATGGCACACATTCTCCCCCAAATAAATACATGTAAAAATAAAATGTTAAAAAAAAAAATGCCACTCTTTGGAGCCAAGCATTTAATCCCAGCACTCAGGAGGCAGAGGCTATGGGGTAGCCTCTTCGAAATGCCCCAAATGTCACTTCACCACCATTTTCTGTCTTATCTGCACCTTCTAGAAAGTTCTGGAGCCCAATAGCAACATTTGTCAAACTAAATTGCTAGTGAGTGTCTTGGGACCAGCCCTGGGCTCAGGAGAAGGCCCTTTAGAGCTCTGTGCGCTGGGAGCATACCACCGCTGTGTCTCCTCACACCACTCCTGATTTGAGTAGCCCTAATGAGAATTTCTCTCTCTCGTTCCCTGTTGTCCTCACCTTCAGCTTTTTGTTGACTCTTCTCTTCACCATGCTTTCTTTTCTTTCTCTAGTAGTTCCTGCCGATTTCCCAAGGTGACAGTCACAAGGGACAGGCACGTGCCTGGTGCAGTCCATTCCGAAAGTAGTCACATAACGACTCCCAAAGCACCCCAAACTTCAGCCACAGGTTCAGAAGTCGAGTCCAGCACACCTTCCGATGGGAATGCTCAGATGCAGCTCTCCAGTTCTCTTGGCAAGCAGGCCTCTCCCAACCAGACCCAAAGCCTCACCCGTGAGTCTGTCAGTAGAACTCAGGATCTAGAGCAGAATATCCATGCAGAGCCCCAGAAGACCTCGGAAGATATCCGAACAGAAGCTCTTGCCAAGGAAATTGTCCACCAAGACAAATCTCTGGCAGACATTTTGGACCCGGACTCCAGAAGGAAGACAACGATGGACCTAATGGAGGGTCTGTTCCCCAGGGATGTTAACGTGCTTAAGGAAAGCGGCGCAAGGAGGAAAGCCTTAGAAGAAACCATCAGACAGACAGGGTGTGAAGCCAAGAGGTAAGTCCCCTGCAGTGACCCTCCCCCCATCCCCACAGAGCCTTACAACCAAACTCCTGTGGGTCATGGCATTCTGGAGTACTCAAGTGATATATTCCTGCCACCACAGATCATTGAGCATATGTGACATTCCAAATCCCAGCAGCGAAAATGAGAGCAGTAGGAGTCATTGTCTTTAATACCCACTGTTCATTTTCCTCCTTCATGTAAACATTGCCTGTCATTGTCACAAGCACCCCTGAGAATTGGCAGCTACCTCTGATACTCACAGGTATGTTAATGTCTGCCTCCACCAAAGCCCTAAAATGTCCAAGTGGAAGGAAGCAATTGGATTTGAACCCTGACTTCTTTCTCTCTTAGCAATTATACAATGTTCCTAACTCAGCAAACACATGATTGCCTATCCTGTCCTGTCCTGCCATACTTTCAGGGACCTCCTAGGCTCAGGGCTAAGAAGGTAGCAAGGAGATGTGGGCATATCTGAGGCCTCCACATGATCAGTGGACAAGTCCTCATGAGAAAGAAAGGGGCCTAGCCAGGCGGTGTCAGTGCACACCTTTCATCCCAGCACTTGGGAGGCAGGGGCAGGCAGATCTCCTAGTTTAAGGCCAGCCTGATCTACAGAGCAAGCTCCAGGACTGCCAGGACTACACAGAGAAACCCTGTCTTGAAAAACCAAGAGAGAAAAAGAGAGGGGTGTAGAGAATTAGACGTATATGGGATATTTCACTTGGGGGCATTTGCTCAAACCCTGAGGATTGAGGTCTCAGAGGGAATGCCCCCTAGATGTGGAGGCTCCCAAGTCCTATGCTGGGCTTGGAACATTGCTCCAGAATCCAGTCACAGCATGAGAACTGAGCAGTTGTGTTTCCCATTACGTGGATTTGAGTTATTCTAAGATTTTCTTACATATTTGATTTCGTTAAAGACTGTTAGGAAAAGGAGTAGAGTGGGTTTTATTTCCTTTTTTTCAGTGAAAACTATGCCTATTGACAGACTGGGACTCAGCAGTGAGTAGTTTCCAGATGAAATACAAACAGAACATTTCACCCACATACGGGCTTGCAGCTTAGAAACTTCCCGCTGGTTCTCTGAATCAGTAGCAGGAATACCGTGTTTCATTGGGTGGGAGGAAGAAAAGAGCTGTGTGCGTAGCATTTGCAGTCTATGGGTTACGTTCTCAGAACTTCTCTAACTCGAGGTCCTACTGTTACCCCGTCTGTCTCTTCAGTTTCAGATTTGGGAAGTCGAGGCTACCCTTAGGTGCGGTCACTTCTCCAGAGTAGCAAACATCACTGAATACCTGCAGTGTTCAGGGCAGTCCTCTGGGCACCACAAGGGCTCAAAGGATGGGTCTGCCATGCAGCTCACGTGGTGTGTATATATTAATTATGCTGCTACCTGGCTGCACAAAGACCAAAGCAAAGTTACCTTTGAGAGTTTATGAGCCCTGGTGAATTTGGTGGTGAGATGTTCCTGCTGCACTGAGCCCAAAAAGACAGCATGCGCCACCTTCTGGTGAAAGCAAGAAAGCCCACTTGTGGCAAGACTCAGATTCCTGAGTGGCCTGTAGGACAGGAACACCCTGAGAGAAGTTGCAACCTTCTCTGAAGGCTTTGTCCGATTTCCTAATCAGCTGGCTTACATGTAGATATGCCAATTAGAGGAAATGGGTAAAATGTTTGTATGCATGGTTCTTTATTCTTGAGTGAATCATAGCATCAGAGTTAAATGTCACATGATTGAAGAGTTAAAATTCCCCCACAAGAGACCCTAACTTACTTCCTTGAGTCATTTATTCACCAGTGGTATCTGGACTCTAAACTGAGGTTGTAGTGGTAGAAGACTTGCTGATATGCATAAAGACCTAGATTTCCATCCCCAGCTCCTCAAAAAGAAAAGAAACAGACTATGAAAAACTCAATTATGGTCAAAACAAATGCATGAGATGCCACATTTCTCGTTTCCTAGGTTTTTTGGACAGCTTTGAGCCTGCCACCCTGTTTCTATCTCCACTTTTTCTTTTTTTCCTTTTGAAATGCAATAGCCTTGCCTGGTTTCAAATTCTTGATCCTCCTGCCACGACCTCTCAAGTGCTGAGATTACAGGCAGGCACCGCCATACCGGGCTGATGAATAGGTTTTGTATCAGTTCACTGTTATCAAACCAGCAAGCTCCAGATTTCACAGGTGTATGGTATGGTATGAGACTATGTATTCCTATGCATTCAAGCATCAGCAAGATTCCAGAGGAACAAGGAGGACAGGGTACGCTGGCTGTGCAGCACCATGGATGTGCTTCCACAGCCATCCACACTGTCTTTCTGTGAAGTGAGGCGTCAGGATCCATCAGGAGAACAGAAGCCGAATGACTCGCAGTCCGATTCCCACTTCCATCTCCAGCGCTGCCTTTGGGAGTTTTCCACCGTGGGCTTATCTGATTTTAGGGGCCCAACATATAATAATCACTCACCAGTAAATACTTTGTTCATTTGTCACTGTTTCTGGGAAAGACTTAACGTATGTGGAAGTATTTGCACATTTCTGAAGGCCTGATGCGAAAGCGCTGTTCTGACTTTGTGCCGTGTGTTTCAGGAGTGATGGCAAGGAAGCAGTAGGTGTGCTGGTCAACTGCCCTGCCTACTACAGCGTGTCTGCTGCCAAGGCAGAGCTGCTGATCAAAATCAAAGATATGCCAGAGCAGGTGCCTGAGGAGGAGGAGCAGGAGGACGTCAACGAGAAAAAGGTAGAGTGGGATGCTTGCTCCCAAAGGGAGTGGAACTCTTTGAAACACACTTACACGGTTGCCAGCCTCTAGGGCAGGGGAAAACCTGTCCCATCTGATAGCACTTGAGGGTTCTCCCCGGTCTCCCGTGAGCAGACGGGGCAGGTAAGTCGCTGTCATTCTCATTTTGCAAATGATGAAGGAAAGCTTTGAGAGGTTGGACTGTTTATTAAAGGTCTCGCAGCTGGAACTGGACCTGGGTGAGGTTCCTGGCTGCTCCGGATCGCTGTTCTAGGCCGCTGGTTGTAGTTTATTCCAGAGGAAAACTAGAGGCTCTTACACTTTTGCTTAGGGAAAAAAGCCAGCTGTTTAGACACCTGGAGGAGATGTAAGGCTGACCTTTACACATTCCCACCCCCAACTCTTTGCAGTACCTCAAAGACCTTTAAAATACAGCATTGAAATGTAATTGTTAGCATTTGGTACTCCTACAGAAATTGTAAATGTCAGACATTTTTAAGATGACCCTGCTGTTGTCACAGCCTCCCCACATCCCATGGAGATGTGGGCAGACTGTGTCTGCAGGGCAGAGCACCCCTCCACATTGCCTACAGCCCTCCATAGATCCCAGGCAAGCCTTCCACAAGAGGAGCGAGTGAGCATGGGATGTGTGCTCTGGCAGGTACTAGCAGGGCCTTGCACATGGCATTCTACTTATTGTACAGAACATGCTCCAGGCCCTCCCCCAAGTGTGCTGGAGGAAACTGAAAGCACCTGATGACACCACCCCCAGAAATGGAGAGACCTGAGGGCCACTCCCTCAGATTGTCCCTGCTGCTTCAGCGTGCTGTGTGCTGCAGCGTCCATTACAACACATTTCTCCCAACCACAGCTTTCTCATTCAGATCCCTGCTGACTGGGCCCATTCTGTGGGTTCTGTGCTCGGAGATCAGACGCTTTGCTCTGCTACTGAGAGGAGCCTTATATGTGCCATCCCCTGTGCTGTGACATCTTCAACTGAGTGTTTCCCTTTGTCCTGTTTTCCTGAGCATAGCCCTCTGCATTACAGTAGCAAAGTACAGCACTTTTTTCATCTTCAGTTTTTTAAAGATTATTTTATGTGTATAGATGTTTTGCCTGTATGTATGTGTATAGATGTTTTGCCTGTATGTATGTATATATGTTCACCACAAACATGTCTGGTGTCCATGAAAGGCAGGAGAGTATCAAATCCTCTGGAACTCCATCTTTGTGCTAGCATTGGAGCTAGGATCCTCTGGGAGAGTAACAAGTGTTCTTAGCCACTGAGCCATCTCTCCAACTCCTCAGTACTTTATAGGATTAAGTCACCCTCTCAGGAAGTAAATTAGCACTATTTAGTTACAGTCCATGTGTGGGCTGTTAAGGTTTTGTGTGCTTTTCTAGTCTTTATACAAAATTCCACCAATACTTTATTGGCCCATTTTGTAGTGAAATGATTGACAGCAGCACTTACAACTGTTGTGCTCCATTGCCCTTGAAAATGGCTGTTGCCAATGAGTCCTGAATGGGTGCTGAGAGGCAGCTGTGGTTCCTCAGCTCTCTGCTGTCCGATTCTGGTGCACATCACTCTGGAGTTCTAGGTTCCCCTCTGGCCTTGCTTCCTCACCCTAAGATTCCTTTAGCGTCTCCTTCTGAATAGATCTGCACTGGTATAGTTTCCGTCTGTGTGTCCAGGACACTATCATTGCAAAGGGTGTCCTCACTGGATACAGAATTCTGGGCTGAGCACTCTCTAGTCTTGCAGTGTGTAGACATGTTGTTACATGCTTTGCTACCACTGAGAAGTAATGTCCAGCTTTAAATGTGAGCTCCATCGTGGCTGCTTGCCTCCCCTTCACCACATGGCTGTGGTGCTTGGCTGGTTATTGCCTTGCTCTGTGTGTGTGTGTGTGTGTGTGTGTGTGTGTGTGTGTGCGCGCGCGCTAGGGGTTTCCCACACAATCTTTGGCTCCCAGGGACCCCTATTCTTAGTCCTCTGGCTGGAAAGACAGGTTCTCACTTATAGCAGCCTAGAAGGAAAATAGAGCGGCATCCCCTCACACTCTCAGGAAGGATTCTGGGGTGCCTTGCCATTACTACATAGTGGGCCTCCCTGAGTGGAGGCACATTGGAGACAGCTGGGAAAGAAGAGAAAGCAGATTCCCCACCAGCTTACCTAAGGCCCCCCCTCATCAGACTCTATAGACAAGCTTTCCTCAGTTTACCCTGCAGCTGTTAAGGTACGAAAAGCAGGAGATTCACCCGTGTGTTGGTGTGCACCTCAGTGTCATGCCAAGGTCAACATCTCACAATGCCCTCCTGAGCCTCCAGTTTGATTATATAACATGCAGAAGAGGGAAGCTGCAGTGGTTAGTTATGACTCCTGCCCGCACACCAGCGGTTACCCTCTGGGGCTTGGCAGAAGGCAGGACAGATTGGCATTTCAGAAGAGTCACTCTGGAGCAGGGTGGGAGGAGAGTGCAGTCACTGGAAGGTGGTGCAGCCATGACACACAATCCAGGGGGCCATTTAGGAGCCATCTGAAAGGGTTTTTGTTGAAATAGGCAGGAGCTGATGGTAGAAGAGAAAGGTTGGTCAGGATGACCCTGGCTCCAGGCTGCTGTGCTGAGGGACAGCGAGGACAGTATCTGGGAATAGTTGACCTTGCAGATTCATTACTGTTCCTCCAGCTTAGACCTTAACTGACACCAAGGGACCATCTCAAATAGTGGCATTCCAGTCACAAGCCTCCTGGAGGAGAAATGGAGGATGTTTGACATTGACACCAGGCCCCGTGACCTCTGTAGGTCTGGCCTCCTTGCTAAGTCTGAAACTGCCCTGACTTTCTAAAGCTTGGCAAGAACAGTAGCAGCTGCATGCAGTGTCCTGGATCTTGCCTTTAGAACCAGAGAAAGAAGCCTGAACTCCACCTGTCCTCAGCCATTCGGCCAGTAGTGCAGAAGTTTTCTCCAGATGAAAACAGCCAGCAGAAGCCTGCTGTTTGGGGGGGAGGGATGCTGCTGGCACAAGCACTCAGTGCAGGAGGCAGGCAGTTCTGCCACACGGGGAAGCTGGCATTGCCCTCCAGGCATCTGCTTTCTTCAAACTATATAGCCTGACCTTGTGATGGCACAGAGAACAGGATGTGTCTGGTTAGGGTTGTTTTCCAGTGTGTTCACACCAGCTTTATTTCATCTGAGGTATTTGAAGGTGGTCACTGAAGTCTGCCCTGGACTCAGACAACATGGGTTTAGCCTTGGGCTCAGGCATGCTCCATACCCTCCATTCACCTAGCTGTGCTTGGCGATAACACTGGGACAATGACAGTACCATGTGGCACCAAGCTTGAGCTCAGTGACGAAGATATGATGGTGAGCTTTAGGCAGGTGGTGTGGGTAGCTGATGGCACAGCACAGGTCAAGTGCCTGCCTGGCAGTGATCCTGTCAGAGCCGGCTTCTGACTCAGTCTGTGTTCATCAGGTGCTGAGGGGAGAGAGGCCCAGATGGTGAGATGGGAGGGGGATGCACTGAACTATGTTTAGAAAAGAAGCTATAGAAATACAGCCAGAGTTAACAGTTTGCCCAATGAGAAGCCAAGTGGGTAAATGTCAGAGGTTTACAAATTAAGTAGCTCCCACGGGAGACGGGTTTGTTAGTTACAATATCTTTCTCCTCTCCTTCCCCCTCCCCTTCAGCTTTTCCACTAAAAGGGCAACAGGTATCAGTTTAGACACCCATAGCCATGGGGATTAGAAAATTGAAAGGACAAGATGTCCCTATTCAAACCAGAGTGTGGGCATTTATTTCAAGGACATGTGAGCCGCTGACACCAAGAACTTGAGAAGTTCTGGCTCCCAGGTGGCAGTTGTAGAACACATCCCTAGATCACTTCAAACATGTTCCTAACCATGACAGATGTTCAGAGCAAAACATTAGTTTCATTGCCTTCTCCATCTCCGGTCCTTTGTAGTCCAAGGCTGGGTATAGTGTTGATGCCCATAATCCCAGTACAGGAGCATTGCCACAAGTTCTGAGCCAGCACTGTCTACACATAATGCCTTTGAAGCAAACCTGAACATGGCAAGATTCCCCAGAGATTGTAACCAACAAAATAGACAGGGTGTGTGTTTGTAGCCTCCTTTTTCAAGTTCAAGAAATCGTAATTGGGCCATGGTAACTAAATCCAAATTCATCTAAAAGAAACAAAAATGAAACCTGACTTCTGATGGTGTTCTGGCATGGGGTTTGTAATGATTCTGTGAGGATAACCCCATGCTGCACGTGCCTCAGGTGGCCTCTCACTGAGCTTCACCGTCACCTGTGAACTATTGGAGACTGCTCTGTGCCACACACAGGTCAGCTAACGCTCAGCCTTCAGACTGGGCAAGTCCCTTCATTCCTATTTGGTGGCTTCTCTGTAAGAGGATGTTTGCCCTGCCCCTGCCTTCTAACTCATGATATTGTTCCCAGTGAGAACACATCACAAAAGGGCTTTGAATGAGAATTTAACAAACCAGTGGAAAGGGCGGAACTCCATGACACTGTGGGGAAACATGATGAGCAATGTGTAATCAGGTGTTGTAGACGGACATTCAGGGAAAGGCCAGAAAAATGTTCTGACGTTGAATCATCTGCCCGTGTAGAGCAGAGGCGCTTTTAGCTGAGCCTTAAAGGCAGGATGGGGTGAGGAGGCACCAGTCCACCTTACATAGATGGCCATGTGCTTCTATTGTTCCAGGCTGAGCTCATCGGAAGCCTCACCCACAAGCTGGAGACCCTCCAGGAGGCCAAGGGGAGCCTGCTCATGGACATCAAGCTGAACAATGCCCTGGGGGAAGAGGTGGAGGGCCTGATCAGTGAGCTCTGCAAACCCAACGAGTTTGACAAGTACAAGATGTTCATAGGGGACTTGGACAAGGTGGTCAACCTGCTGCTCTCACTCTCTGGACGCCTCGCCCGAGTGGAGAACGTCCTTAGTGGCCTCGGTGAAGACGCAAGTAAAGAAGAAAGGGTATGTGCCCAGCAGGCTGTCCTCCCAGCCTGTGTCCACAGAGGGGAGATGTTAACCACAATCCCGTGGAGCTGAGAGTAGCCTCCATGCAGGACACAGTAGTGATGCTTAGCGCACAGGACCCACGGGCTTCTCCACAAGGAGATGAAGACGTTAGGAGTTTGAGAGAGAAGAACAGACATGATGCTAGACAGACAACTGCGAGAGACCACAGAACTATTGGGATGGGGAGGGGCAGGCTGAGCTCCAGGGAACCTACATGAAGAGCCCAGGCCGTGGCGTGAGTCCACTGTACGCTGCGCGCGCACGTGCGCGCACACACACACACACACACACCACCCCCCCCCCCAAAAAGGGAAGCAAAACAGACTTCCTTCCCTGGAGAGAATTAAGATTTTTAGCTTATTTTCATTGTATACTAATGGGTGTTTTGCCTGTTTATGTCTGTGCAATCATTACCTGAAGAGGGCATGGGAATGCTGTTACTGTCATGTGGGTGCTGGGAATTGAACCAGGGTCCTCTTGAGCAGTTAGTGCCTGGAACCACCACACTATGTAGAGTTTTTGATTCTTTGTGCCCCCAGGGGGACACAAAGTACTCAAAAAAGTGCCCCCAGGGTCAGGCTTGTTTCACAGCCACTTAATGGCCACAGTGTTCACATAGGATAATAGACTTGAAAGCCTGGTCCTTACAGCCAGGCCCACAAAGGCACTGTTAAGTAGAGAAGGGGTTTGCTGCCCTGGAAGAGGCTGCATGCAGGAGCCTGGCCCATCTGCTTCCCTGTGTTCTTGGCTGACTTCTTGTCGCTTTACCCTGGCAGAGTTCTCTGAACGAGAAGAGGAAGATTCTGGCTGAGCAGCACGAGGATGCACGGGAGCTCAAGGAGAACTTGGACCGGAGGGAGCGCGCGGTGCTGGCCATCTTGGCCAATTATCTGTCGGCCGAGCAGCTCCAAGACTACCAGCACTTCGTGAAAATGAAGTCCACACTCCTCATCGAGCAGCGGAAGCTGGATGACAAGATCAAATTGGGCCAGGAGCAGGTCAAGTGCCTGCTGGAGTCGCTTCCCTCGGACTTCAGGCCCAAGGCGGGGGCCATCTCCCTGCCCCCAGCCCTCACCAGCCACGTGACTCCTGTCGGCGGCATTTTCCCAACCTTGACCTCTCCACTTTAACCTCCCCTGAAAGACCCAACCGAAAGATGCCACACTCAACACTATTTAATCTAAAAGGTGTTTCACTACGACTGCAGTTTGAACTGTGGGTTGGGGGTGGGGGTGGGGGTGGGAAGAAGCCCATCTTTCTCCTCCCTTGCCTTTCATGGTTGGTTCTCCTGACCTTGCATGCTGCTGGGCCTTCCCACTCTGTATTCGCTGTGCAGTAGAAGGGACTAAGGGACGGTCATGACACTGACCTGATGGGAGGGGTTTGACTATAGGTTTTCACAGGCTGAAGCAGCAGAGGCCAGTGTGCGCCACCCTCAGGGATGTATCCACAGTGGCCTTCCTTGCTGGTGGGCAGTGCACCCTGTCATCAGGGCGCAAGGACCAGTCTGCAACACAAAGCCTTAAAAAGATACACATGTTAAGAACTGTAAAACCTTAAACATTTTTGTTATTTATATTTTTAAAAATGAAAAAGATCATTATGTTTGTGTGCTAACCACTTATTTGATTCTGTTTTGTGGTGGATGTAGACATTACGTGTGAACTTTGTATTTTGTGAAAACCTTAATGAAGAATTCCAAAGATAGTCAAATTGAATATGAAGATTTTTTGTGGGTTTTTTTCTTCTGCTCTTGTCTGATACTCTTTGCCTGTATATATTTGTGTATAAACATGCTTGTGTGTATATGATGTGTGGGTGGATGTGAGTGCCACAATATTTGTGTACAACTTTTTGTAGGTTCTAAGGATTGAACTTGGATCATCAGGCTTGTGTAACAAGTACTTTTTACTCATCTCTCCAGCCTTTGTCTGATGTTTATAAAGACCAGTGGCCACACTACACTTGTGTTAACTGGGTGGGAGGTCCCAGTTCCCATGATGCTCAGGACTTAGCACATCTGTCCTCTATCAAACAACACTTTCCCCAGGATGATGGCTCTGTGCAGCCCAGTGATGGCTCCTCGGGCTACATGTCATCTTCACCAGTTTATTGACAGAGACAACAGTTCCAAACCTGTAAGAAGTCCAGAGTCTAAACCTGTTCAGAAGTGAATCCATGCTGCCTTCCCATGCAGGATGTGAGCTAATCGCACTTACTTAGTGAGCTACATAATCAGGATATTTTAGTATTTTTTTACAAGTTGGTCCTCCTAAATGTCAAACCTGATTGCTACTGTCATTTCAGTGAGAGCATGTGAGTGGTTCTGTGACCCGGGTCTATTAAAACCTGAAGAATGACATCGATGAGAACATATGTCGGGGTTTGGTGGCCTGAGGTCTAAGTCTATTCAAACAAATCAGATGAGAAAGGGGTTACAGGCCAAGAACCAGGCTGTGCACAGCCACTGAGAAGAAAAGTGCCCCACTGTAAGCGGGTGACACACTACAAATTGTGTCGAGGCCACCCAGAGGTTTCTTGCCAGCAGTCAGCAAAAGCTATTGCTATGTTCTGTGGCACTTGTATACTATTCTAGTGCTGATCCAGGGAGGCCAGCATTTTCCCAGGGCTGGGTTCAAATGCTTCTTTTCATTCAAAGGGGCTATCATGACTCAAGAAGCCAGAGAGAGGATTCAACAGCCACACTACACTGCAAAGTTATTTTTGAAGTTAATATAATATATCCAACTGATATGCTATACTAAACCATGTCAGTGTGGACCACTCAGAAACTTAAAAGCCATGCCTGTGGGTAATTGTCTACAGATGTTCTTCGTTAAAAAAAAAAAAAAAAAAAAAAAAAAAAAAAAAAGGCCTTGGAGGAATTCTGGGGCTCTCAGGCCCCAGCACTGTTCATCAAAAATGGTGAGGTGGCTTAGCAGCGCAAGGTGCTTGCTGCCCTGACAGCCTAGAGCTCTGCCCCCGGAACCTTCGTGATAGAAACAGGGAACCAATTCCTGCAAATAGTCCCACACATATGCTATGGCACATGCACGAATGCACACACATGCAACAAGCAAAAGCAAGAAAACACGCTTGCCTTACAGGCAGATATTCAAGCCCCAGAACCCATTAAAAACAGAAGCATATGAGAGCACTCACACATATGTATCCCCACGGTTAGGAGGTGGAGACTAGTGTATCCCCAAGGATCCTGGTAAGTTGCAGGCCAGTGAAGAAACCCAGCTCCAAAACACAGGGTGGACAGATAGCACCTGAGAAACACCTAAGGTTGTCCTCTGGCCTCCACATGTTCAAATACAGACACTGCAGGATTTGACTGGGGTCAATCCACACACTCTGCCTTGTTGACATTTCTGTTTTAGACCTGTAAGACTGACTTCACAGCATTGCATCTGTGCTTTTGCTACAATTAATATCCTTCCCCTGGTACAAGGAAATGAGTGAGGTACCCAGAGGGACTTTGAAATCTGATTTAGGGGGATGTGGCCTTCATCAATGTTGGACTTGACCCATGCTTTGAAGAAACCCCCAGATAGAAATCCTATGTGTTCATTCCTTTGTAGCTCACTCTTTACTATTAAAAAAAAAAAAAGAGGAAGAAAAGAAAAAAGAAATCATTTAATGTAGATAACAGGGTCCACTGCTAAGACAATGAGAGCAGCAGTCACAGCCACACCATCACAGGGGTTTTAGAACACACATGCGTCACAGAGTTCACTTACTGTGTTTTCAGACACCCACTTCCCACTCACGTCGTCGGGTGTGGTAGTGTTTGCAGCATCCTGAGAATACACCAGAATCCTGGAAGTTCCAGGAAACATGTCCTGTGACCAAGTCAGGAGGTCCCCTGGAATGTTCCAGGCCTGTTGCTACAAGTTAGCTAACTCAGCCTCCCTCCCTGTGGTTTTTGTTGTGTTAGATGCTTCACCCTAAAGAATGAGGGAGGGACCTCTTATCTAAGACACCAGACAGGGTACACTTTAGGTTTCATTCAGTACAGCTGGTTTCCAAACAGAAAAAGTAGCCAGCTCGGGCCAAATCAGTAGCAGCCACTGAGGAAAGGAAGGATTCTGCCCACCTTCTTGCTTCTGTCTTGTTAGCATCTGATCGAAGCTCACCTGGTTTAAAAAGGATGCGTATGCCATGAACTCTGTAGCTGTATTTAACAGATCTGTTCTAAAAGTGTGTCTACTGTTCAAGAATTTCATGCCTGTAAGCTGTATTTTTAAATTCTATTCTCCCACTCCCCGCCTCCCACCCTCGCCCTGGATGCTCTCAACACAACCGCCTCTCACAACTTCTATGACTTAAAAAAAAAAATCCAACGAATCCAATTAGTGCTGCCCATGTGTGCATGAGGGTGGGTTAGCCTACCACTGGCCACACCCTCAAAAGATGAATGCCCCCCACACCTGCCACCAACAGCTCAGCTCCTCAGCAAGGAGTGGGCTCTCAGGAGTCCCTCTCCTGCCCATGACGAAGTAACCGAGCGTCTTTCACTAAATTACTGGTTTTGTTTTTTCTGGATACTTAGGAAAATACTATGTTTTCCTGTGTTTCCAAATTCATAGCTCACTTGTTTTACTTTCCTTGATACTATGTAGCTTTAGCATGCTGATTCAGAATTATTGCTGTTATTGTTATTAGAGAAACATAGCTTTTATTCACATTGCTAGTAGAAAGAAGAAAAAAAAGAAAAAGACTATCTGAAACTGCTTCTTCGTTTCCAGCAGGTCTAAAGTGATCAGGGGTACATGAGGATCTTGCCACACAAAAATTGATGGCAGAAGACATACAGCCGCCTTAACTCTGAGGTGAAGTGTCAGATACAATGAGGACAATTTTCATACCGTAATGGGATCTGTAAACTGCTTACTTACTCTGATTTTAGATACAACCTTACTTACATTGGCTGCCAGTTCATGGTTTATCAAAGTTATCAGCATCCCCTGGGATGCTCTTTAAAGCTGCAGGTTGCTAAGACACCAGGGCAGGCTGGGTTCTGGGTTGAATTCCATCTCTAGCTTGTCCTGGTCGCCTTAACTTATAAGAGCCACTGCTCTGACCACTTACCCAGTTTCTATTGATAGCATCACAAGGCTATGATGAACTTGTGAAATCCCAGATTTTAAAGATTTTTAATAATAAAAATCACAGAAGTGATTGCTCAGTTAACTATGCTATTTATATTATAACATTGCTACTGTCTTCCCCTGCTTTGATGTAACCCCTGCTCCCCATTTACTTGTCCCCACATCTGTTTTACATTTAAACAAAGTAAGCCCTGGACTAGCTGATAGCAATTGTTTTCCTAAGAGTCACATCATCCTGATTGAAGGATATCACTGGCCTCTTTGGGATTCCTGCATCCTCTTAAGTCTATGCCACATGTGAGTGACACTCAGGACAGTCTAGCTATTGAGGCAGAGTGTCCATTGGCTTTGAGAGTGAAAGGAAGAAAAACCCTTTCCGCCTTAAAGCTAGGGAGGAAAAAACAGCAACTGACTCGCTGGTGCTGCATTTTATAAATTCGTCTCTGTAAATGGGAAGGCAGCTGCATCAAGGGAGACATCAGCACTGCTGTTGACTTATACAGTCGCCCGAAAGAAGTGTGGCGGGACATATTAAGTGGTGAGAAATAGAGGTGGCCGTGACATACCAGGAAACGGTGAGCATCCTAAAACTAAAGAATACCCAAGGAAAGAAACCTAAACAGATGGCCCTCCCTAAGACGCTCAGACCTAGGAGAACTGGCTTGCCTTATACAACAGGGTTTGCATGAGCTAGCCGGGTGCATTCCCCAGGCAAGCAGGAAGCAACCCTCCCTAGTGCAGATAAATGCAGTTCTACCAGCTGTGCAGATAACGGTCAACGGGAAAGCAGGCCACTCTGGGAGCCCATTGGGTTTCAGATAAGCAGAATCTTTCAGAGCTCAGGCTTGCATTCAGGAAGCCCAGGAAAGGTTGTCACCAGGCTGAGGCTACAGGGTAGCTGGGGATAGCCTACATTGTGGGATATGGTTGGAGCTGAAAACTCCATCAGATATCCTCACTGAACAGAGAGCAACAATATAGACAGGTTCCATCTTAACAAAGCGGTTCGGTTTATAATTTTCTAGCCTTATATTGGTACAAAAGTATATTCACTCAACCACTCTGCTTCCTACCTCCAGTATAACATTCAATAAACTGA